ACCCCCATTGCCATCCGGTGCCTGAGCAAGCGATGTAGGTGACTCCAATAGCAGCTTTCCTTTCAAATCGAAGCAGGGCATGGTGCTCTGCCGAAAAAAAAAGACGTCTGCGGGGCACAAGCCAAAGTAGTTGTTTTCCTTGAAGAAGTCCTGAGTCTTCTCATGATTCAAAGGGCTCGTCATAACGTAGAAAGGGATGTGCTTCCGTGTTGATCCCTCATTCGGGCAGTCCTTGCCTTCGGGACTACGCAGGAACCTCTCCGCTGCCAATGCTGACACTCGCAAGATTCTTTCCGCTAGCAATTGAAAGATGGACTTTCCAGAAGGCAAGCCAATGTCATACATTCCTTTGGGTCCGTCAAATCCGAGCCGCGTGCCCTGCCCACCGCTCAAAACCAAGGCCGCAACCTTTCCGCGGCCAATGGCGTCTAGGCCCATCTCCTCCCACTCTCGCAAGAGGGCAGGGGAGGTGGTATCTACCGAGGCCAAATCAGACAGCGGTGCATATTCGTCATTCCCCGCAGCTGCAGCAACGGATGCCGATGGCTCGATTCCGAGTCCGTTAAAAATGCGATTTAATTCAGGAAGATCAAGGGCTTCGATTTGTGTGAGGAGGCTCGCTGTCTCTTCCGGAGTGGCGAGGCCAGCGTCGACATAACTGAGGACATGGTCTTGACACGCGTCTCTCAAAGCAAGGCGGACGCGAGCAATACGCTCGTCAACGTCATGGTCGTGAGGCATGGGAAAACCTGGGAACCGATAGGGCGGGGAAGAGGACTCGTGAAAGACCTTATCGCCCGGAAAGGCAACAGAGAAGCCGGAGCGATAATGACGGTCCAAGCGATTCTCCTTCTTTTTGACCTTGACTTGCAGCTGAACCAGCCCCTTTGCCCGCCCGGCACAAAGCACACGTAGACATAAACAGCGTGTATACTCAATATTTATTATCTGTCCGGACGAGGATATTACTGCGGCCGTAAAGCTGTGCCCTGCGGGTGGCGCTTGCTCTTTACCATCGAAGCATTACGAGAACAGAGCTTAGTGGGCAGTGACACATCGTCGAGCCAGTCTGCTTGTCAATTTAGGGCATTTGCGAACGCATGTGATGTGAAGGATGCTGGTTTTTTTCATTGATGACCACTATTGTCTAGGACACTTTGTCAGAAAGGGATGCCCTCTTGCTCCTTGTAGCATGGGCTATGAAGGAGTGGCCTTCCACCAACTTGATGTCTCTACTCACGAATAACGGAGGTTTTGCATTTCATCGATCCCCTTTTCTCCCGTTCTTCTAACTGCAGGAAACACAGAAGTTGTTTCTGGAAGTCGATTGACATGGGTAGTCATCTGGCCAAGCCCATCACCGGTAAGTCGGGTTCCTCCCTTTGGGTCTGGAATGAGACCAAATAATTCAAGGAGATCAGTGCGAATGAAGTTTGGAAAATCCATTACTTTTCGAACGCTCGCGTGAAACCACATTTGCGTCTCAAAACGCGTATGAAATGCGTAGAAGGGAAGAGGTGGGTAATATACTCCTGAACCCTCATTTCTGCCTACCCGCTATCTCCGTGCATTGCCCCACCGCCATGCTTTATATAGAGAAAGAATCGTACGAGAGTAATGCACATGGGCTAAATTTTGGGGCAGCCGCGATGCAAGGCTGGCGGGTGGAGATGGAAGACGCTCACACGGTGATCGAGACTATGGGTAAGACAAGCGGGTGCCTGGGAAGGAGAAGGCATAGTCAACCCCCGAGGCCGAAGCCCTGCTTGCAACAAAGGTCTGGCGTCAATGCGCAGGCTGATGACTGCGACCGTAGTGTGAGAAAAGGATTCGAGGATCTGAGAGCCGGGAGGAAGAGGGGAAAGGAAAACATAGGGGTATCAGGGGCAGTGTCTTATCAGACAACGCGCTGATTCTCGGTGCCAGATGAAGTGTCCCTCGATAATCCTCCTTTGTTTCCCGAGGCCATGCGGCTGCCCTGGTCGCCCAGAGTAGATTGAAGCCGCCCCGCTCACCTTTCCCCTCCTTCCCTTCATCGGCCGGGACCTCAGACCCGGAGCTGGAGGGCCACTCTTTCATCGCAGTCTACGACGGGCACGGGGGGCAGTACTCCGCCATCTATGCGGGGAAGCACATGGTGGATTTCGTCAGACGGACGGTAGCTTACACGGAGTACAAGAAAACCAAGGACGTGGCCCACCTCCAGGTGAGGTTCTCCCGTGTGTCTAGACCGCCCTGTCGCTCCTGTTTGGACCCACAGTAAGGAGGCTGCGTCTTCGATTCTTACGATTTCCCCGCCTTGGTTGTACGTTGCTCACGGTCCCGAACGGTGCTCTCTATCGCCTCCCTCTTACCTGCTTCTCGTCAAAAGAAGGGCTCCACACGAGCGATCCACTTCTGTTCCGAGGGACACTTGACACTCCCCGCTCACCGCTTCTGGCTCTCCCTTCCCCTCTTCCTCCACCCAGACCGCCATCCACTCCGCGTTTCTGAATCTGGACGAGTCCCTGAAACTCCAAGATGAATTTGTCCACAAGCACGATACCAGTGGATGCACGGCCATCTGCGCCATCATCACGCCTTCCCATGTGGTGGTTGCCAACGCCGGCGACTCTCGCGCGGTCATGTACACTACAAAGGGCACCCACCAGCTCTCGCGCGACCACAAACCCTACCTGGAGGACGAGCGGAAGCGGATCGAGAGCGCGGGGGGGATGGTGAGCATGCAGCGTGTCGACGGGGACTTGGCCCTGTCGCGGTCATTGGGAGACTTCCAATTCAAAGACCGGTGAGTCCCACGGGGGTCCCGTCACTGCCGCCGTGTGAGGGTGGATTTGGATTTATGGTGTCCGAATTAATTTCCGTGTGACTCTCCTGCTCCTCTTTTTGCCCATTTTCAACGTTTTGTGGCGTAAGGTGACGCCGCCATGACCTCTCGCCCCTGAGCGCTCCTGATCCTTATCCCCACCTATCCTCCGCAGAAACCTTCCCCCCGAACGCCAAAAAGTCACGGCTGTGCCCGAGGTTCAGGTGCATGTACGGGATCCGGAGAAGGACTTGTGTCTCCTCCTCGCCTGCGACGGGGTCTGGGATGTCTGTGAGAGCGCCGAGGCCGGGCGCATCGTCTTCGACATCCTGGGGGACGGGGAGAAACGGATGGCCTTGGTCGCGGAGGAGCTCTTGGACCAATGCCTGTTGCGGTATTCGAAAGACAATATGTCGGCGGTGGTCGTTGGCTTTGCCAAGTTGTGGGAGGAGCACGGCAAGGAGGGAGAGGGGGTGGAGGGGAGGCGGCGAAGGAGGCTGCCTGCGGGGGAGGAGGAGGAATCGAACGATGGAGGAAAGGCGTCAGAGAGGGGAAAGGAAGAAAAGTAGGGGCTGGAAGAGCTGATGTTTTATCGTGAGAGGAGGATCAAGGCCGACACGAGGGGTAAGAAGACCATAGATTAGTTGCCTATTTGCCGATAAATTGAACCAGTAATGGCGCGAGCACCAGGAGCAGCATCCACAGCATTTGCAGCAGCCGTGTCGGCAGGAGGGGGGGGGTCGGTAAGCACATGCCAAGAAAGAGGCCGATGGATGGTGATATCCAACGCATGGAGCAGGAAACGAGAAGAAAGAGACAAGGAGTGCATGTGGTATGGACGGGCGTCATCGTGAGCTGGATTGCATGAGCAAACATTCGGGAAGCGTGCAAGCAAATTGCTTCAACTGATGTGAACACGGCGGTGCGATTCTATACGATGGGACAGTTTTGATAAACAGTGAATTCTGATCCCAGCGATAAGAGATGCGGTCGCGTAAACTTTTCTGGCTGGCATGTGGCTACATTCGAATGGGAGCCAAGAGGGAAGAGCAACAGAGCCTCCCATCCCTGCACTTTTTCTAAAATTGACAATAGCAACAACTGTTTTGCGAATTTGCCGGAAAGAGTGAAGATTAAAGTGTATTTCTCTGCAAGTCCCTCAGTATTATGTGCATGCATGTCAAAAAATAATTCAAGCCAGCGGGCTCGATAGCCCAAAAGAAACACAAAACTATCAAGAGCGCGGAGATTCAGGGGCCTTCAATGTGTATGTCGCTATTAGCTTTCATGACTTTTGAGGTATGATCATCCCCGATGATATTTCACTGCCAGTAGCACTGCAGCTCCTTCACTCCATAAGCCCATCCATTCCCCGCTTACAACACCTCACCTTTTCCGCTTCGCCTGCCTCTCCTCCCCGCTGCCCCGCCCGGCACCCAAAGCATCCACCTTTCCCTTCCCCCTCGACGTGATCACAGCACTTCGTTCCACGGCCACGGCCGTCGCCACGCCCAACCCCTTCCTCTGTGCCAGTGTCTGGGTCTCCCAGGTCGAAACCATTGCTTGCCTCCGCTCCTGAACAGCCGCCTCGATGCTCTCCACATTTTCCCCCTTCGCCTCTAAATCGTCCCGGAAATGAAGCAAGCCGGTCTCCAAGGACCGCAGCATGGCCCGCCTCGCTTCCTCTTCCTGAGCGGTCCACTGCGGCGGGGGCTTCTGCTGATATTTTCCGTGGGAATGCGGTCGACGGTCTAGTTCCTCCTGCCCGAGGGGCCCCGTTCCCAGCGCTTGGCCGATCGAGATGGTCCGGCCCCCGTCCTCGTCATCGTCGGAGGAGGAGGAGGAGTAAGTGGCCTCGCCCGTCCGCCCTCGCTTCTTGGCTTTATCCGCCCCTTTTGCCCTCCCGCTTCGGTCACCAGGCCGCGTGCTTTGTCCAGGGGCTCTTGCTCCAGAGGGAAGGGGGGAGAGGTCGAGGGGGCGTCCGTCCACATCCTCCCCTTCGCTGTCCTGATCGTCATCGCCCCGAGCCCAGCCGTACTTGCTGCTAAAGATGCTCGTGGCCGCTTCGTCCATGGGCGTCCCATCCACTTCCTCCTCGTCCTCCTCCTCCTCCACCTGCCGCAGAGGAGCCGCCGACGCCCCTGGCCCATACCGCGACATTTCGGACGCGCTCGACCCGCCCGCCTCCCACTCCCCTCCCCGTGCCCCCCTCCCTCCCCGGGTGTCACCTCCCGTCCACCTTCCTCCTTCCAACCGATTTTCCCCCGCCGCCTTTTTCTTCACAAATTCGTCCAAGCGTTTCATCTTTCGCAAGAGGAGCACGAGCGGACCCTCCGTCGTCAAGCCCGCCTGCCGCGCCTGCCGAACAAGGGCATCTCGCCCCTTCTCAAGATCTTCCTCCTTCCCTTCCTCTTCCCCTTCCTTTTCCTCCCCCTCTTTCTCCAGGTCAACCGTCAAGGTAGCCTCCAAGCCAGCAATGAACAAAGGAGGGTAGATGGACCACTCCCCCCACACTTTCAAGACCTTCAGGAGCTTCTCCTCGACGTGCTGGGCAGTGAGCCTCCCCAACACGGCCAAGGAGTTGTGGAAGGCAGAGAACACGTAGGGCAGTGCGAGTTGCAACGATGTTCGATAGGTAGAGGCGTTCCTGACACCGGCCGAGGAATTGTGCAATATGTCTGACACCAGATAAAGACGGGCCACCCTCCGGGAGAGGGACACAGGCTGTTCCCCCGCCAGGTCCTCTGACCATCCCTTCTCCGCACACAGACTCTCCTTGAGCAAGCCCACCACCTCCTCGCTCGCATCGGCATGGTCCAGGGCGAATCCCATCCCCTCCTTGATTTTCGCCCGCCCTCCGTCCAATGCTCGCAGCAAGGCAACAAAGGTCTCGTAGTCTTTCCGGGAGAGGCGAGAAGAAGGCGCCCGCCCCCGCGCAATGTCCCGTGCCCGTTCGGCCTGTCTGCCCGTCAAGAAAGCAGCCGCGGGCATGACAGCTTCTTGCCCCTCATCCCCAGGGGCCCCTACCCGCCCCCGACCTCCCCCTCTCCGACTCCCGCCCGGGCTACGGCTTCGGCTTCGGCTGGCGCTGTGGCTTCGACTACGGCGACGTCGACCCCTTTCTCGGCTCCTGCTCCTCTCCCTGCTTCTACTCCTGCTCTCATGGCGTCCACCCCTCTCCCTCTCTCTCGACCGACTCTGCCGTCGATCCCTCCCTCGACTCCGGCTTCGGCCCCTCTTCCCCGCCTCCTTTTTCCTCTCTGGGCTTCGACTCCGACCTCTATCCCGGCCTTTTTCCCGCCCTCGCTCCCCGTAGTCGCTCGTTTTCTCCTCCTTGGCCTCTTCTTTCACCTCCCGCCGGTCGCGCCAAGCCCCCGGGATGGCGGGAGGTGCCCAGAATGGACCGTCGACGGTCATTTGAAAGGGCCGCACCCGCCACCTCGTCTCCGTGTCGCCCATCAAAAAGCTGAAGACGCGCCACCGGTAAAAGAGAGCCTCCGGCGAGTCCCCTTCCCACAAGAAGCGGAAGCGTGGGTTTTGGCTTTCTGTCACCTTCAGTCGTTCCTCCAGGGGCCCGCCGTCCTTGGCAACATACCGGGCGGTCCGCGAGATCAAAAACTCCACGTCTTTATCCTCCGGAAAAAGCACCGGGAGGACGACATCCCCTGGCCCCGGTTCCTTCTCCTCCTCTTCCCCTTCCTTCCTCCGACCTGGCTCCCCTTCGGGCGATCGGGATCGGGAGCGGCCGTACCTCCCACCACGCCTCCCTCTACCCTCATCCTCCCCGTCATCCAGGCGAGATGGCTCCTGCACTACGCGGCTGCTGATACTGGTCGCCCGACGCAAGGCCTCTTCCAAGGGGTTGGACGAGAGGGAGGAAGGGGGGGAGGACGCGGACGAGGAAGTCGAGGTTGGTGGCCGAACTGAAGAGCCTTGTTCTAGGCCCGCAGCTGCCGAATCCGCTGCCACAAGCCGTCCTGTCGCTTCCCCCTCCGCTCCGGCTGGACCCGACCCTGCTTGCAAAGCCGTCGTCAAGCCCGCTCCGGGCAACCCCCCGTCCCCTCCTCTCCGTCCGCTTCCCTTCAGGCTCCTCCCCTCCTCCTCGGGGCCGGAGGCAGCGTGCAGGGCGCTGGGAGGGAGGCTGAGACCAGGCGGGAGGGCAGATGGGCTCACAAGCGTCGATGGGGAGAGGTTCGCGAGTTTTTTCACGGCTTTACTCCAGCCAATCCCGATCCGATGGTCGTCCAAGAGGAAATCCTGGAGCTGGTCCTTGGCGTCTTCCGCGTCCGCGCGCGTGTAGAAGGAGACAAAGCCCGTGTTCCTCCCACGTGCCCGCTCTTCCTCCGAGCGTGGCCACATGATTTTGACCGAGTACACGCGTCCGAAGCGACCAAAGACCGCCTCCAAGCGCTCCTCTGTGGTCAAGGGAGACAAATTCCCCACGTGCAAATTCGTCGTGTGCGGGTCCCCGTCATCCAAGGAACCCTCCCGTGGACAGGTCTCCTCCTTGCTCACCCCAGATTCCTGCGATTGCTTGAGTTCTTCCAAAAAGGCGTCGATTTGCCGCGGCCCTTTCTTCGAGTTGGCCGACGCCAGCCCAGGCACGAGGGCGGGACCGCTACTTCCTCCGCCATGGCTTCTGTTCCCCAAGGTGGAGCCACTGGCGGATGTGGTCCTCGTGGAGTCCGCCGCTGTGGCGCTTGTGTGGGAAGGAAAGGCAGCCGTAGGGAGGGGCGCCAAGGGCGCTTTCGAGGCCAGAGAGACGGGCATTTGCGGCTGGTAGTGGGAAGGGCCGTCATCTGCAAGGCCTGCCCGGCCCTTGCCACTGCTGCCTCTCCGACTACCATCCCTGGCTCGCACGAATCGCTTCCCATCGTTACCGTTGCCGTCCCCGGCGTCAAATGAAGCGACGAATTGCTCGTAGATTTTAGCAGCCTCGGCATCCTCCTGACGCTTCCTAGCCTCCCGTTCCTCTTTTTCCTTGTGGAACCGGGTCTTTTTAACGGCCGGCTTGGCGTTGTTGTTAGCTGACATAGTTCGCAGCTATACAGCCATGTCTGTAAGCTACAGGAAGGAATGTTGAATGCGTAATCGGCGGAGTAGGGATGATGCTTTTGATGTCTTTCTAAGCACGCAACGAGGCTCCAAGGAGAAGGCGACCCCACGCAAACTTTTACAAACCCAAAACCACCATAAGTGAAATTCACTTCCCAGAGTATGCTCAAATCACAATTATGGACATTTCCTACGGCTGGTTGCGCGCTTAACACAACGTCCCGACGCCCTGTACCCGTCGTTGCCCACCGTTGCTTTGGGGAGGGTGGGGAGGCTGCTGCTTGGCTATGCGGCTTGGCAAAGTCTTAAATTCCAAACTTCGAGTCTGGGAGTCCGAAAGCGTAATCCGAAAAAGTCTCCGTCAAAAAATGGAGGAGAGCACGCGCCGCACCCCGGCCCTGCGGGCTCGTGCGACTTCATCTCGTCTGGCTTCGTATTTCACAGAGGGATTAAGCGACACCGGCGAGAGGGCTCCCTGACAGAGGAAGCGCTTCTCGTGCCTGTGAGAAGGGATTCAGGGCCCGACCACGTGGGAGTAATGGCACCATGCGAGGACGAGATGTTGTCCATGTTGGAGTGTGAGATGTATTGAGCGCGTTGCGGGTAGATAGCGCCCTGTGGTACGCGTTTTGGGACATTAATGCGTCTGTTCAAGCCTCATGCAAGGGCGGGAGTTTCACGAACTTCTGACTGTTCCGGAAAATCAAGAGCTGAATCACTGGCATGGCAAGTGACCAGACGCATAACCATTGGCTTTGCTTGAAAGGGAGGAAAACTGGTTACGTTGTAGGTGGACTAGGACCTCGGAAACTGTGCTTTGCGGCTATGACTGGTACTGATGTGTTGATATTTCAGGCGAGAGGGAAGAGCAACCCGAGTGCAGCGACAGCGCCTCACATCAATAATTTTGTGCATCCTACCCACTATTTCGTGTATGTCTGAGTTTCTTAAACCAGCTTTGAACTCTTATTCAAGCGCTTTCGAGCCTTATGCCTTTTCCGATGGTGAGATAGACCGGAAGACATGTCTAACTTCAAGCCATCCTCACGAACAGGAAAACTACACACATCAAAACAACATCTCCAAGATGCAAATCTTTGTCAAGACTCTGACAGTAAGTGCCACTTTGAGATTTATCGCTCTTACTGAATGGTTTGATTAGGAAGCAAGAGGTGCCAGAACCTTTGAGAGAAAAACACAGCAAAATTTGTCAGGAAAATTTAATCTTGTCACTCATTCCATTTTATGCTCCAACAGGGCAAGACGATCACGCTGGATGTGGAGCCCAGCGACACGATCGAGAACGTGAAGCAGAAGATCCAGGACAAGGAGGGCATCCCCCCTGACCAGCAGCGTCTCATCTTTGCGGGGAAGCAGCTGGAGGACGGGCGCACGCTGTCTGACTACAACATCCAGAAGGAGTCTACGCTGCACTTGGTGCTGCGCCTGCGTGGTGGGGACGCGCTTTGCTAGACATCCGATTTTTCAATTCCTCTGGCGCATTTCCTCTCCGACATGCTTTATTCTTGCTCCGGCAGACTTATGTCGTCAGTGTTGTATTGTTGAGAAGTGAGGCTAGGGGAACATGCGCATGATACAGGGGGTGGATGAAATGCGTACGATGAGGGATCGGGAGGGATGGAAGAATCGAATGTATGCACAGGCTACGCGTCAGTAAAATATGGATCGAAAGAGCTTTACGTTAAGAAAAGAGCAATTATACGTCGCTCTAATGTCTCGTGTACCTTGAGTTGTTGTCATGATCTGTAGAGGAGAAGGCTATGAACAGATGCGGGAAGAACCGCTGTGACATACGACGATGTGTTGTAGAAGGGGTGCGTACAGTCCTTATGCGTCGATAGGAAAGACATATCGAGCAGGAAATGTTGGATAGGCAAGCGACGGTTGAGAAAGCAAGCTGCAAAACTGGTATTTTTGCTAGAAGAGCCTTGACGAAGCTGCGTTATCACAAGGACGGTGTGTACGCATGTGAGCCACAGGAGAAGCCAACGAAGAAAAGAAGAAATCGAAACAAAAAGGCGGTGATGCACTCAGCGTGTTAAATCCCTTTGTCGTTTTTTTCCTGTCCGCGTCCGTCCGAATCTTCGTCTTGGCCCCGCTACCGACTTCGCGACAGACCGACTGCTGTTGCCTATGCTCCCTTTCGAGAATTCAAATGTCACTGCAGCGCCCTCCTTCCAAGGGCACTGCCTCAGGGACAGACCCGTATTGCTGGATCGTGGTGCCAAGAACCACCGCTCCGACCAAAATGGCTAGAAAGCTCAAGCCCTCTACAGCCCCCAGCAACCCTGCTGGTCCTGCTGGCAGACCCGTGCCCGTCCGGATTTTCTTCACGATGGACCAGCCCGCAATACCGACGACAACTAGATAGGAAATCCCTTCCAGAGCGCCAAGGGATCCGCCCGGTCCTGCCGGAAGACCGCACCCCGTCGTCTTAAGGACGTATTCCGAGTAGAGAACAACAGGACATGCTACAAGTCCGAGCGCTGTTACCGCAAGACCCGCTCCCCCAATCTCCTCGGCTTCATCGTCACCACTACTGGCCAAAAGTAGAGTCTTCGACGTTGGATTCGGGCATGTGGCCTTTGAAGGCGATGGAAGCCTCTTTGACACCAGGCGATGACTTGTAGAACGTGGCACGAAAGCTTCAATGCTGCTGATGACAACCAGCAATGAAACGCACAAAATTATGAATTTATTTGCGGTCATTCTCGATGCTTCCTAACCGCGACAATATCTGAATGAGGAGATGGCAAAGCTTGCTACAGTAAGTCGGTGAGTACCTAATATGTACGAACTGGAACCTCCCTCCTCCGACGGAAGCATTCTGCGTCAACTATGCAATTAATAACACCCTAGTACTGCCATGAGATAGAATAGAGTGAAAGACGTCGAGCCAAGAGACAAGGAAGCCCTTACGCGGCCAATCATGGCTTATGTATTCCTTTCTCGTTTTTAACCTCCTCACCCCCCGAAACGAATCGCTGCTATCCCCAAGTAGCCTCTGTCGCATTCTAATAAATTCCCTTCACATGAATCCTGAAATTCCACAGCCCCGGGAATGGTGAATGAAGACAGCTATCTTGTACCGCCAAAACTTCTGGAGGCCTTTCGCCGAGACGGGGTCGTGGTATTGCCTGGAGTCTTCACTGAAGAGGAGATACTCGAGGCCAAGACAGGGTTAGCGACAACACTTAAAATACATGAAGTGGTGAGCAAAATAATGATGCGATGCCGATGATTACTTTCCCGTTTTCTTCCGCCCTCTCGAAGTTCTCCCCTGTCTGATACATATTGTTATGTCGCCTTTCACCATGTCTCGAAAAACCTTCTCAATTTCCTTCGCTCACTGTGACAAATTAGGACGTTCAAGATCTTGAGAAGACGGCTGGTAATTTACGCAAACTTTCTACCACCGGGGGCTCCGGAGGCGTTCTAGACATTTTTTACGCTCCTTGGAAGCTTCGCCTTTCAGAAAATCCTCGATTCTTCAGCGCGATTTCTCAATTATGGGCAGCTACTTACGCAGAAGGACGCGCATCGTCAAAGGGAGGCGTTTGTATGGATGTGAGAAGAGGGACGGTGGAAGGACAGGGAGAGGAGAGGGAGGAAGAAAGAGGGATTGACGCGACAGATGACGAGCAGCCGCTGTATGCCCATCCCCACGGACCCTTCGACCCCCGGCGCGGCTATTTCTACCTGGACCGGTGTGGTTTCCGTGTGCCTGATCGCATCAGTGCACAACATGCCAAGGGGAAACGGCCTCTGCAACGCTCGCTCACTCCCCACCTCGATTGTTGCCCGGCAGCGCTCTATACCTCGGACAAGGCGGTCCCACGCTGGCGCCCCGTCCAGAGCTTCGTGGCCCTCACAGACAATTTGGGGCCTCAGACCGGCGGCTTTGAATGCGTGAAAGGCTGGCATCGGACCTTCCAGAGCTGGGCGGACCATCGACCGACCTGTCGTCAAACGGGGAAAGCCGCGCCTTGCGTCGGCGACTTCACCCCCATCCGTCCCGTGGAAGACGCCGAGGTGATTGCTCGCTTTGCTCCTGTCTACTACCAGGCTGGAAGCGTCATAGCCTTCGATTGGCGCATCCCCCATGCCAACGCCACGCACCATGTCGGGTTGGAACCTCGGCAAGTCAGCTACGCCAGTTTTCTTCCCGATGTGCCGGTGAACCGGGAATATGCCCGGCGCCAAGCTCAACGGTTTTACAACGGGTTGCAGCCGGACGACCAATGGAAAGAAAATTCCGACAGTAAAGAGGTATATGGCGATGGCTCTGTCTTCGAGTTCTCCGACTTAGGGCGCCGCTTGCTGGGATTCGGTGCGGAGGAAGTGAGTTTACGTGCTGAAAATGAATTCGGAGCTCTAGAAAGAGGCGATGCGGGCAGAGAGGACAATTTGTGCAGATTCTCAGGACGTAGACAGCCGGGAGATCCTTGTAGTGCGGGACAGAAAAGGGAATGTGGGAAACAAGGGCGTACCTAGAGGTTTTTCGCAAAATTCTCAATGTTTTCTTAAAAAAGCTTATTAGATTGCCTGCATTACAGGAAAGGAATGCAATATAGCTAAAGCCCTGGATTGGACCGTACGAAATCGTCCTGTCCAGGGGTTTGCTAATCCATCGGAGACTCCTTTCTTGTGAAATGGACAATATAATCAAGCTCCTGTACGATAGACACGTTGGCAGGGATACAAAGCAAATGTAGGACTATGATCGCTGTTGTCCAGGAAAGTTTGCTTCCTGTAAATTTCTTTTCCACATCCAAGGGGCACAAATTTTGTCCTCCACAAGCGGCTACTCTTTTACGAAGAGCGATCCCACATTCGTCAGTGATGTGCCATCTTGTACTGCAGTCCACAGTACTTGCAGGTTGCAACTTCCTCCCCCACTGTGTTGAGCTGGATGTACTCGATCGGGTGACCCATGCCCCCTCCCCCTCCATCGCACAACGCCACCGTCCCATGCACCTCTGTCACCGGGAACTGTGCGACAAGTTCTTCGGCATTACTTCGGTGCGCGCCGTGAGTGTACGGAGAGTTGCTGGGGTTTGAAGGCGGGGACGAGGATGGGGGAACAGAGAAGCAACGCCGCGAAGGGGCGCTCATGATAGCGGGCGCATGCACTCTGCGCTGAACCCGGAAGGCTGTCTTTACAGTAGCGAGCTGCCGTGTAATTGAATTGCGCAGCATGATTTCCTGATGTGTGTGCTGCGATCCTGTGCCCTGTGTTTGGTGCCCGGGTTGAGGCAGGAAAGGTATTTAGTCCTCGAGCTGACCCACGCTTAGTGCTACATGCTTGCCCCTTCCTAGGCCCCAGGCTTCCACATTCATGGCATTGAAGCACCACAACGTATCGGCATGCTATTATTCTCTGAGAATGAATGTGATGATAGGCACAACAAAATGCGCGCACGCACTTAATCTTGACGACTCTAACCAGCCTTCACGCCTGTACCCTGTAGCTTGCTGCTCCTGATGCCCTGTTAACCGCAACCTTTCGAACCACATACACGCACATAACCCCTCAATCAGCGTTTATGTGTCACATATGCCATATTTTATCTGGCTCATGTATCCGTGTGGGTCTTTCAACTACGCAAAACCACGTTGAGCGGGCGCGAGACAAAGGAAGGCTTCCATTCCGATCTCTACGTTTCCCCTGGCAAGCACGCAGACCAGCACTGTCATAACATACATGTCTAGTACATCGATTTTCTACAACCGTTAATCGCGGGAGTAGCACCAGTGCGCTCAATCACACATTCACCGCCGAGGCTTTTTTCTAACGTGTGAGGAGAGCACTAAAGGGGTGTCTTATTTTTAAGCAGCGTCATACGCCAGCGGTACTAGTAGTCGTTGGGCACTCGAACGTCTCAGACCTCAGCTGCTCCATTTTGGCCCGCACAGCTCCGCTATCGATCGACATGCATCCACTGACCAATATGCTACACAGGAATATCACCTTGACTTCCAAAGTGCCTTACCTCATGCGCGCGAAAGTTGTGAGCTTGAAAGGTACGTGCACGACCGCGACCTCCTCCCTTGTAGGCGTTCCAAGTCGACCTCAAGCCCCTTGCGCACGCACATTCAAGCGGATGCGGCCATTTTCCACCACTTCGTCCCAGTCATCTGGCGGCAAGGAAACTTCACCACCCGCAGTGCCAGAGACGCCATTGTATTCTTCTCACATTCCCACAAGCGGCTTTCAGAAACTCTACATTGCTGGGTTTTCAGCCGCTACCGCTTTCCGCGATCCAGAGCGGGGTGATATGGTAGCAGCTTTGGGTGAAACAACCGGAACGAGGGCTTTGCAGCGTCTGAGGCGTGTCATGTCTGCTGACCCTGTGGGACGAGAACTGCTGGCGGCTAAACCCGACATCAAAGAAGACTCGACGCGTCCAGATCGTCTTCGGAGACTCCCCGAAGGTACCTTTGGTCGCCAGTACGCCCGTTTCCTCGACCACCACGGCTATTCTCCCGATGAGCGCGCGGCGGTCCGATTCGTGGATGATGCGGAATTGGCCTTCGTAATGCAACGGTACCGACAAGTGCATGATTTTTGGCACGTGTTGTGCGGACTGCCGCCTACAGTTCTGGGAGAGTTGGCGCTAAAGTGGTTCGAGATGGTCCAAACTCGCTTGCCCATTGCGGCTTTTAGTGGCGTGGTGGGGCCTTTATCTTTGTCGGCGCAAGAGCGAAAACTTCTTAAGGAGCAATATATACCCTGGGCGGTGCGGGCGGCAGTCAAAGCCAGGCCATTAATGTGCGTCTGGTACGAGCGTAGCTTCGAGGAACCTTTGGAACTGATGCGGAAACGACTACAAATCGTAACAGCTCCGCCGATGACGACTGTGTAATCAATGTGGGAATTCATAAGTGCACACGGATGCGTCAGGAGTGAAAGCAATGATGTGGACCTTTCCAATAGGTCGGACAAGCATGTTTTTGAATCCCTGTGTAGAAATGTTGCTTCGTTGGGATTATCTTACGAACCGCTGGTTGACATTGATATTCGATTACATTTATTCTTGCGTCATTCTTCTTCATGAGACTCGGAGTCATAATCGATACTTCCGGTTTCCGTCTAGTTTCCTCCATAACTTCCTATCATCCGCCACTTCCTTTACCGCTGATTTGACATGTCTCCAGCCCCTGTCACTGGTTCGTGCTCGACCGAAGCCGTCGCAATGCGCGGGTCTTTGTGTATGTACTCGACAGGGGGTGCCATAGGGTCAGGCGACACGTAACCGATTTGTTCGAAGAGGGCCTTGTTCAGTGCCATTTCCGAGGGTTGGACGAAGCCAACAATAATGCGTTGATTTTGTTCCTGCTGTTCTTGAATCTGCTTGGCAAGCAGCCGCTGATAATCTTTGAGGGCGGTACGCGTCGCTCGTTGCTTTGCAAGGTCCTCCTCCTGCGCCGCCTGATTGCGAGAAAGCATGGCCTCGGCCATTGCACGTTCTTCCGCTTGCATCTGCTCTTTCCGCTCAGCTTTTAAACACATTTCGAGGTCCAAGGCTTTGAGCTGTGCGATTGTTGCAGCCTTTTGCTTCTCTTTGCGCCTTTTCTCCTCTGCTTCGTGCGCGGCTCTGGCGAGTTCTTGATGCCTAAGTGCTCGACGTTCGTCCTCCTCCACTTTTCGCTTCAAGACCTCCTGGGCGGTCATACTGTACGAAATCTCTTTGGCTTCTTGCCTGGCCACGACTTTTTGAAAGGCCGCGTGCTGCTCTCGATCTTTCTTATCTTGCGCTGCCTCCCACTCCTTCCCCAGTCTGATGATCTCCTCCGCCTCCTCCTGCTTGCGTTTGATCCTATCTCGAATCTGCTGCTGCACATCTTCCTGAATCTCTTTCATTCGCTCGCGGTCTGCCCGTTTCTGGCGTCGCATCGCTTCAATTTGTTCAATGGCAACACGACGAGCCTCCTCCAGTTCCGTTTGTTCTATTTCTATTTGCTTCTGGCGCTGCAGTAATTTCTGTTGCCGAGTTCTTTCCATATCCTTGCAAAATTCCGTACGATATGCTACCATACTGCTCATATGTGCATTACGCGCTGCCTCCTCAGCCTCTTTTTGCATGTGGGCGTCTTTCTCCAACTGCTGCGCCCAAGCGCGCGATTCAGCTTTCGTGGCTTCTTCTTGAGCTTGCCGATCACGCACTTGACCGTCGTAAAATCGGGATAAATCGCGCTTCTCGTTTTGCACCTTCTTGCGTATCTCCTTGTCATGAGAGATTTGATCTTGGCGGCGTTTAGTGTCCATCAAATACCAAGCGTCTGCATTGCGCTTTAGCTGGTACAATTGTCTAAGCGTCAATCCTTGCCGTGTCACTTGTCGAGGAGTATCGCTCTCCACGATGTTCAGCGAAGAGTTCGCAACATCATTGCTTGAAATTGCGTTACAACGAGAATCTGGCCTTCGAATGGGCACCGAGAGGTCCTTTTGATCCGAGTGGGAGGGAGTCGGCAGCGTGCAGGAGGAAGAAGATACAGTCTGAATTGGCATGGCTTCAACAGCTGAAGCCGCTATCGATGTTGTCTTGTGGCCAAGCAATGTTTGGTTGTACAGTTTAGAGGGGAGTTTTGTCTTCCTAGTGCGCCCTTGTGGGTCTCGTGGGGGATACATGCCGACTTTTGACGTTGCAAGCGTCCGCTCACAGCTCGTTCTCTCTGTGTGCCGGTAGGGATGGGCCGGGATACATGTCGTTACTAGGGTATTTTTATTAGCGATGTATACCAGGAATTAAGCTCTGTTCTGTGCATTAAAGTACTTGGCACAATTTAATATCCGAGATTGAGAGGGCTAGGAACAGTTTCACTTATTTACCGCTCGCATCGACCGAAAAATGCGACGTAACGCAGGCATTACGTGAACCGTTACCGCTTGTCGTGCCTGCCAACGGTCCTCTTGGAGACCGCTCCGTAGCCTGGAAAAAGGACTTGCAAAAAGCCATTACTACCGCGACCTACCGAAGATCCATCACCGACGTTGTGTTGGATTGTAAATACGCGGCCTGTGTCCAATGCCTGCTTTCCACGCCCTTTGCAAGCCGTGAAGGCTTGCCGACCTCAAACCCCCCCTCGCACACATTGCTTCCTCCGAGGCGCCTTTCCACAAGACTTTGTCCTTCAAACTCGCTCAAATACATTTGGCGGAAACGCGCCACTCGTCTGATAAGTTTTCCCTCATGCATGATTGCAAATGGCAGTTTATCTCCACGTTTTCCTCAATGGTGATTTCCTTCGCGATGGATGATGTTTGTATTCGCTCCAAGCCACCTTTTCTCTGTGCTTGAGTGACACAGGGTCGATGGCGACGCATCGCTCACATGGCAACACGCTTACTAACAGGCAAAGAGGAAAGGGCCAATGAACTGCATATTTCAATCTTCTCTACTGCTGTAACGTGTGCTAGTGATGACTTAGCTTGCGCATTACCTGCCTTGCATTTTCCGCGGCCATCTATCGTGTTCTACCTCCTCTCTCCTTCCCTCCTCCCTCACCTCGTCCCATCCGCCGACGGTTTGAACTTCATCGGACCGACGTGCGAAGGGCCTGATTGTAATCTGCTATTCGTTTCTTCGAATTGGTTCCCCGTGCAAATACATGGCACCCGTCAAGGTCTTGAATGTGGCCGAAAAACCTAGCGTGGCGAAAGAAATCTCTGCCATACTCTCTGGCGGCAACCGTGCCCCACGTCGTCGCCAAGGGGGATCTGACTACAATCCAATATGGGAATTCGGCTGTCAAATACGTGGAGAGCTTGTAGATATGGTGTTTACCTCGGTCCGAGGCCACCTCTTGGAGATGGAATTCGTGGAACCCTACTGCAAGAATTGGCATGCCTGTCGCCCGGGGGACCTGTTCACGATCCCCGTGGAGAAAAAAGTGGGCAAGGACAAAGAGGGTTTGGAAAGATGCTTGAAATCCGAAGCAAGGGTGTGCCAGCGGCTGATCTTGTGGCTGGACTGCGATTTGGAAGGGGAAAACATTGCCTTTGAGGTGATGGACGTGTGTCGGGCCGCGAACTCGCGTTTGCGGGTGGAACGTGCCCGTTTCTCCGCTCTCATTCCCCGAGAAATCTGGCACGCCCTCGAACACCTCGTGGAACCTAATGTGTACCAATCGGAAGCCGTCAATGCCCGGATGGAAATCGATTTACGGATCGGTGCTGCTTTCACCCGCTTCCAGACCCTGAAACTCCAAGGGAAGTTCGACGGGGTCGAGGACTCTA